TATCCCATCTACAGCTCCATCAGGTGTGAGCAAAGATTCGACACAAACAAAAGATAAGGACCGGGATTCTCAGCAGTGATATAGGTGCGCAAGCACATCATCCATACATCCATACACTCAACAATCATACATGTCACGCAACCGAGATGGACAAAGGCAAGGACAAGTGTGAGCAAAAAAAAAAAAAAAACAAGTATCGATTCCCGAAAGCCGAAAACGAAAGTAAGAACGGGCAAACCGCCCGGAGTCACAATCAAAATGTATGTACACAAATGAAGAGGGGGAAGAGACAAAGAAACAGCAAATCCACGTCCATCTACCTCAACTCTCCCTCCTTCTCTCTCTCTGTCCGATGCGGACAGTCCGTCGTCACGCACCAACCCACGAAGTTGTCACCCCGCTTAGTCCTCCCGCACCCGTCGGATTCGCCCGTGCCCACAGTCCGTCGTGGCCCACGTCAATCCCGCGCGTTCGGCACCAGCCCGTCGGGTGGCCCAACTCCTACTCTACTCACCTCTTACTTCGCTCGTGTGCCGACCCTTCCTGATCACGCAACCCCGAGCTTCCAACAACAGGTCAAGAGAGCTGACTAATCGCGTAGCCGAAATTTATAGCGTGCATGCATGCGCGAAGAACACGGAATTACCAGGACTTAGAGTGGATTAGGGATGGAGCACCTGCGTTCTGCATGATCGGCCGCAGCGTGGGGGACGTAACCCTTCTCCACGCATTGATCCGAGCATGCAAGCCGCGGCTCACAACAAAAGAAAGAGAGGGGGAGCGAGAGAGACGAAGTGTAAAAAGAGAGATAGAGTTACAATGGCGCCCGCCCAAAATTGCAGTTACACACACGATTAAGGGCGCCCACTAATCAGAGTACCGTTGTAGCCGCATGAGAAAGCGCGTAGACAAAAGGCGCAGCGCGGCAGAAAAAGTCCTAATTACTAAATTCCTAAATTCCTATTTAGTGCGAAAAAGCAAAAAGCATACATTCCAGAAAGAAAGTCCAAAATTCCGAGAGCCATCGGGGCTCGACAAAATTCGAAAAAGATTCAAAAGGAAATTAAAAAAGAACGAAACAATTTCCCGCGCGATGTCCGCGCCCAAAAAGATCGAACCCGAAACGAAAGAAACGTCGTCAACATTTATTAATCGCGCGCGTGGTGGCGCGCCAGACATCCATCCGACCAATCTCCCAACCGGCCGTACCCGGACACACCCAGCCCCGAAGAAGCGACGAAAAAGACGAAGAAGCAAGGGTATTGATGCAATTTTCCATCAATCCCGATTTCCCGAAAGCGGCCCAATCTTCCCAGCTTAGGACCCCTTGTTGCAACGGCGCAGAAACTCGTGCGCTACAGAAAGTGGTTCGTCACATTGTGTCCAAAAGACCTTCCTCCTCACACAGAGTATGAATGATGTTTTCATCCTCTTCTATATAAGAAGGGCAAGGAGAGGCGATCTTCCACCGACCTAACCATTTGGCCGGAGCTGCATTGGAATCCCTAGTCATAATTATAGGAGTCCCACTCGGAATTTGGGTCCTAATCATTTGAAAGAAATTCACCCTCTCATGGATCTCATTAGGACCATAGATGTTAATTACACATTTGATTTCTGACTCTTAACTTAACCAGCGCAGAAACCCATCTTCCTTGCTCTTTATTCACTACCCAATGTACTCCCTCAGCCCTGAAGTCGGGAGGGACCCATATGGCTACCCCTCCTGAACCACTTCTTGGCGTTGGATAATATATTTTTTGAAAGGGCCATACAATGTTATGTGTACGCGTATGGGTTGGGGAAGAGGTAAGATGAGTTTCCTAGATACAATTAGGTCTGGCCATGAACGACCACCAACTCCTTTCAATTGTTTCATTATAGCTTTCTTTTTTTTGAGTTTGCAGTAGCTAAACCATTTACATTAAGCGATCTGAGGTCTAGGTCTGTTGTACTAGTCGCACGACTCAATGAAAGATTTTTCCCGTAAAATGTGTGTAGCGCTTCCATTACAACAAACCAACTTTTCCTCTTATCCCTCTCAGTCGCCTAAAGTCGGACCCAATTACCGCTGTCCAGGTCAGAATTCGACTGGAGGATACCCCTACGCAGAATGGAGCACAAAAATGTCATCACATCTGGCACAGACCAGACTGCGTTGGCTTTGATCTTGAGATTCTGTAATTCTAGCAAAGTTGCATGGGAGTACCACTTGAGGCCTGCCTCTTTGTGCTCTTCAAAACAAACAAAAGTATCCCTCTTTGCCATTTGTGCTTTCTCTCCAATTTCGATTAGTGTTGCCTGAGGACCAGGATCATAGAAATTTCCTAGGAAATCATGCAAATCCCTCTTGAAAACCTTATCCCCAGCACTCTGATATTCCACATATGTGGACCAGCCCCTCAGGGTAACACCCCCATACTGATACTGACCCAGTGGTGAGAGCCCTATCTCCCACCTGCCCCCCTTTTTCCTCACCGGAATGATCAAGTTACCTTTCGGTGCCTGAGACCTGTGCGACTGCCCTTTCTCTAATATCTGTCTCAATTTCTGTATTTTGCTGGTTTCTTGAGGTGCCTGTGATGTAAGGGGCTGTGTGCTGAGGATGCTGTTTATCTCCCAATGGCCCGCTTTGTTGCAAGGGTTCTTGTAGGGGATTATGAGCAGATTGTAATTGTCCGATCTGGTGATGCATTTGCTCCTCAAAAGATTGTTTTCGTTGACGACTCTGAGACACCAGATTCGTGATAGGTTGGGCAACTGAGGCCCCATCTCCTGTTGTAGAGAAATAATGGATGAATGCTGTTGATACGGACACTGGTTTGACTGATTTGACTGATTTGACAGTGGCTGTGTCATCAGCATTTGGGAGGTGACATGCAAGCGCGGCTGTTCCGTCAGCAGAGTACCCGGCTCTTGCTGTCCATCTGCCCCCTGATGCAACTGCTCCTGCTCCTGCCCCATCAACAGCATGCGGTGGTCTGTGGCTGTAATATCATTTTCTGAAACTATTTTTTTTTCCATTAAATCTTTGATACTCTGTGTATGATATCTCGCCTGGTTGTAGCTCCTTGTACCTCTATCTAATAAAAGTCTATCCAAATTTTTTTTTCGGACTTTAAATGTTGACAGTCTGTATCTGACATCTGACCTTTTCATTAAATGCCGTAAGGACTTAGAAGGAGAGAGAAAGAAAAAGAGCACCAAACGAGACTTGCACGAAACTTCCCTGCGGAACAAATTCGCTGGTCTGAGTTCTTTTTGCTTATGCAAACTCAACCCTGAACCAAACTGCCGCACTGATATCGTTTTTTTGCAACTTAAACTTTGACTGAAACATAGTTGCCCGGAAACAAAAAGATAGAAAGAAACCCTGCACCAAACTGCCGCACAGATATCGCTTTTTTGCAACTTAAACTTTGACTGAAACATAGTTGGCCGAAAACAAAAGATAAAAAGAAACCTCCGTACAAGGAGAGCCTAACCCACATTGTGCAAGAGTGGGCGCACACCATCATGACATCCAGCTCATCTGTGTATGGCTGTAGATCCTCCTTTGAGCAATCGAGCTGCTAGT